AGTGAGACAGAGTCATCCTCTCAAGGCTAACCTTGGGAGAGCTCGCATGCCCAGTGAAATGCCGCTGCAGGCACGATGCTGTGCTGTGCTGACAGGCCTTCCCTGGCAAAACATGAATTTTGCAAAAGGCACAGGGCAGCACAAAGGCTGAATTACCTTCCCTGGAATATAGATCCCAGGCAAGGCACTCCTATGACTGTTTCAGCTCTACCTCCCAGGCACAGCATCCAAGGAATGAGATTTGCAGCTGCATCGCTCCCAGCTGGACCAACGGACCACTGCTGAGTGAACAAGTCCTTTTGGATGGGCCAGGGTAAGCAGAGGTCTGCTTCATTAGCTCCTGTGCAAGGCAATAATCCATGGTCGGAGTCAGAGGTTGCTGTGTTAAGCCACGCAGTTTTACTTAGGCTGATGTCCTTAATGGTGAGTACATGTTCTCAGGCTATGGCCCCAACTGGTGGTCTAAACTGTCTGCTTAATTTTCCTTATCATCTGGAAGTGAGTGATGCCCTATCCTTCCCAGACCCTGGGAAGAGGAAGGTATCTGCTTGCAGAAGGATTTCTTTGCCTGGATCCCGCTGGAGAGATAACCCTGTGTTCAAACACCGATGAGAAAACCAGGCAGGTTCCCGACTGTTTTCACAGGCTGGGGTATGTCTTGCCTGAAACAGTCTTACAGCTTTCTCTTCAAAGCATGGCTGCACAGGTTATCTCCCCTCTTACTTGCAGCCACCATTCAGCATCCCTGCCAAAAGCACAGTGAAAGCCAGCAATAGGCAAGTAATTAACTCCTGGTTTATCTTCTAAGGTAGTTTTGGTGTGGAAAACCAGGGGAAGAGAAAGTGCTGTGTGGCTGCTCCACTGCCAACTTGACCTGCGTAACCTGTAGCTCAGAAGCCTTTGCACTTGCTAATTCCTTTTAACGCGAGTTGCTACAGGACTGTTCCTGAATGTGACTAATGTCTTCTCGGATGTTGCTCTAAGTGTTCTCAGCAAAGATGGGCTGGCTGTAGCAAAGCTAGCATGTTATGATGCAATTTGTTGTTTTGAACACGTAGTACAGTAACCATCAGTAATGACAGTCGATTACTCTCAAGATGCCCCTCCATGCATGCTTTACACAGACGGTGCTTCCTTCTCTGAAATTCACCCAGACTGGTGAAAGAGCATTCAATGAGCAGCAGCACCGACCAGCTGCCTGCAAGTTCTCATCAAAAGCCTCTTGATTTTTGTGACTTTGCCACTAGCTTTGGAAAGAGTTGACCCGTACTTGTAAGAACTCCTAGGAAACAAACTGGGCAAAGCGAGCATTCAGGGTGATGTGATGAAGAAGACAGTGGAAAAGCCAAACCAAGGTACGACTTTTGATGAGTGGCATGAAGACCACATTTGGAGGCAGAAGTACGGAGGGCAACCTTGTGCAGTAAGACTCAAAAAGCTAAGGACAGAATTATTTTCTTAGGCTTCTAGCCTAGATTCTAGCAAGATTTCCTTTCACTACAAGGAAGGGGCATTTGAGATCTCTGTATGAAGCCAACAACCGACCAGTTTACTCAAGCGTGTAGCTGTGCATCGGATGCGACCATTGCTTCTGAGCTCATACATGACACCACTTCTAATGTTGCTAGAAAGTGGATACCATACATACAGCTACGGAGGCCCTTTTTGCTGGTCTCATACACGACACCACTTTTAATGCTACTAGGTGTGTACCATACATAAAGCTATGGATGTCCTTTCTGCTGATGTGGAAATGAAGCTGGAAACCATGGAGGCTGGGACCACTCCATCATCACAAGTCTGAACAAAGGAGTGGTGTTCATAGAATCATAGAATAGTTAGGGTTGGAAAGGACCTCAAGATCATACAGTTCCAAACCCCTGCCATGGGCAGGGACACCTCACACTAAACCATGTCACCCAAGGCTCTGTCCAACCTGGCCTTGAACACCGCCAGGGATGGAGCATTCACAACTTCCCTGGGCAACCCATTCCAGTGCCTCACCACCCTTACCGTAAAGAACTTCTTCCTTATATCCAATCTAAACTTCCCCTGTTTAAGTTTTAACCCATTACCCCTTGTACATGTGCCGTTATCAAATGAAAAACTCCCAGCATATTTATAATGCTCAGGATCTATGGCTTAAACTGCCAAGTTCAGGGTATAAAAGGGGCTGAGCACACCACCTGTGAGCCAAAGATCAGTGTGGGTAGCGTGCAGTGAGTGTACAGGTAGCCCGAGATGCCTGTCACAGCCTCAGTTCTAAGCCAAACCATGCACAGTTTCTTTGCACATCTACAGCAGCAGCTAACGGTTATTTTTTTGGCTTTGAACTTTGTCCAGAGTTCACCTCCAAAACAAACCTCAGTCAAAGTGCCCGTATCGACTCCTCAGCAGAATAAACACGCTGAACCTCTAATAACGCTTCAGCACTCGCACTTGCTTCTTTCAACCTGGTTCTTAACCAGAAAGATAAAACCCAGTGAAATAAACAGCCTTTACTCGGGATTTGTTTTTCTGGTGCCTCTATCAAACGCACTGAAGGATAAAAGCAGCTCCTGTCTGGTTGTTTTCAGAGTAAGCCGACTCCTTGTTTTACTTCAAACCCTAACTGAAGGCAACATGGAAATCCAGGCTGTTGTCGGGTTCTAACACTCGGCCTCTGCAGCTTGAACCACTGGTAGTAAAGTTTACATAGAGGGGGGGAATACGAGTATTTGGAGGGGTTTAAGAATTGGTTACGGAGTTGAGGCTGGAGGGGTGAGAGGAGGGAAGGGGCCTGATGTAACTGCAGTAAACTAATGTATGATTGGACAGCAATCAACCTGATCCTGGTATTGCTTGATCTGAGTGGCTGTAAAGTACAAAGAACTATTAAAAGCAAACATAAATTTATTAACAATCCCATAATATTTTTATTGCACTGACCGTAACACTTCTTGTCACAGTTGGACATGTTAGAAAACCTGTTGTGAAGGCCACTAGTTTTTTTGGTGGTCCAGTGGTATGTGACCTTACCTATTAACCCATTATGTGCACCTTTCAGTAGCTATTTGATGGTGTTTTATGTTTTCTAGTGCTCCATCAACTCTGCTTTTCAGATTCAGGCTTGTAAAAAAAAAAATCAAACAAGTTTATAAAAAACAGGGGATAGGAAGAATTCCCTCAAAAAGCCAAACAATGCGACATTGAAATGGAAAACAAGGGCATTTCTGGAGGACTCCATTTGCTTCGTACCTTTTCCTTTTTGTGCCCTGAAGGTTTGTGTCTTCAAGCTCTTATTTACAAACCCACAGGCTAGAAGTTTAATGAAATAAAAATAACCTCAAGTTGCTTGCACAACTGTACGAGTCCAGGAGCTACAGCTTTAAGAAAGGCACCAAGTTAAGTTCACAATTCAAATCCCACAGAACTTGTTGACCAACGGGTGGGAAAGCAGTGGAAAATTAACAGTAATTAAATAAGTGACAGCTTGGTAGCCCCATTTTTTGACAGTGGAGGGGGTACCTTGCTGTAACCCCTCCTCACACTGAGCACACCAGAATCCTCCAGATGATAACACTGCGCATTATTGCCCAATTATGACGAGTCCCCGAGTTACTCATCACAACTGCTTTATGGATTTAGTTTCACAACATAATAATGAGTTCATCGCGGTTTCCTGAAGCATCTGCAGAGATAATGCAAACACTTACTTTTCTTCCCAACTTGTGAATGCTGTGAAGGAATAAGTGATGCGAGAGGATATTAAAAAGAAGAAATAAATCAGTTTTGCATTGCATCAACCTCCAGCTTTCTGCAAGAGCTCGTGCAAATCCCGCAGCGCCCAGAACACGTCCCATTGCTTTATAGCAATGGTGGCTTCAAGATAAAGGCAAGGTTTGGGGTAATTTTGGGACTCCAAAGACTTTCAAAAGCCGGAGGCATGTGCCACGGCTGGAAGTTAAGCTGGTTTATTCCAGGTAAGGACTGATGCTGCTTGGGTTTGGGCAGCCCCCAGCATCTGAATGCCTAGGAACTGGGGGGCACAGCGGCCCCACGCTGCCCTTTCACGGGAGGACGGACACAGAAACACCCGAGGGGCTTTGTGCATCCAAATCCTGTTCCTGTTGCTAGCAACCCGCAAAGCCGATCTCACGGTTGTTTTCCTTCTGCCTCAACAGGCACGGCAGGTTAAGATGCGTGATGTGTAACTTCCCCGCTTGGAACCTGCCTGGGAAACTTTGTGACTCGCCGAGATTTATTGTTGCCTTTTGGGAGGGGGGTTTAAAGAGGAAGAAATAAAATAAAGGAAAAAGGAAAAAAAAAAAGGTAAACGCAAAAGGGGCGATGAAAGCTGACGAGCCGCCCGAAAGCAAATGGCAGCATCACCCAGCACCGGAGCAGCTAAGTTAATCAATAAATAACCGAACCCCTCTGCATGAGGCGGAAAAGCGGCGGCGGAAAGAAAGGGAAGAGAGAAGAGGGAAACCCCTCCCCGGGCCGGCGAGCGGGAGCACGGTCCTGGCAGGAACATGGCAGTGCCGGCGGCAGGGAGCGGCGGGGATGGGATGGGAGCAAGGCTCGGGATGCGAGGAACACCGCTCTTCCCCCCCGCCGCAGCTTCCTGCGCCCCCCCCCACTACACCCCCGGCCCTGTTGCATCAACTTCCTGTGCGGAGCCCCTCGCGCGCGGCTCCTCCCGCCCCAGCTTCCTGCGCGCGGCCCCGCGCCCGCGCTCCCGCACGGGCGGGCGGGGGGAGAGAGACGGAGAGGGAAGGAGGGAGGGGAAGCGGCGGGGAGGGGGGGGGGGGCTCGGCCCGCTCACTGTGCCCCCCCCCCTCAATCACCCCCTTCCTTCCTTCCATCCATCCATCAACCCCTCCCTCCCTCCCTCGGCCGTGCGCCCCTAGCCCGGTGCCGGCGGTGCGGTGCGGCCGCCCGGTGCCGTGTCCCACCCCCCCCATCGCCGCTCCGGCAGAGTTTGGTGCCCTACTTCACTCTACTTTAGTTTCACTCACTTTACATCCGGGCTTTTTCCCTAGGCAATGGGGGCCGCAGCACTACCCGTTCCTTAGGCAAAGGGAAATAAATTCGCCGCACCGACACGTCAAGTAGTCCCCCTCAGGAGGAGACGCTGAGCCCGCCCTCTACTCCGCTACACGCACACCCCCCCCCTTCCCTTCTCCTCCTCATCCTCCTCAACCCGGCCCCGCTATGGCGATGGAGGGTGATGAAGGGGAGGGCGTGGACCCGCCGGTCCGGTCTTCCCCTCGTTTCCCCCCGCGGGTCTCCGTCGGCGGGCCGGGGGCGCGCGCGGCGGCGTGTCGGGAGCGCGCCTCAGGCAGGGAGGGAGGGAGGGAGGCCGGCGGCGGAGGGATCTGCAAGCGGTGCTGCGGCCGGGCCGGGTGAATGGGATTGAAGAAGAGTTCAGCTTCTCGGCTTGTTTTTGTGTCACAGTTTGTCTCCTCCTGCGCCTCGCCGGCTTCGTGCCTCCCTCCCCGCCCGCACCCTCCTCCCCGCCGCAGGACGAGCCCCCCGCGGACAGGGGGAAGGAAAAGGACCCCACAGAGGCGAGAGCGAGCGAAGAGGAGGAGGAGGAGGAGAAGGGAGCAACCTACCATCTTCCACTCCCCGCTTAGCTTAAAGAAAGTGAGAGGAGGAGAGAGGCGCCCAGAAGAGGGGGACAGGGAGGCCCGGAGGAGCGGCGGCGCCGGCACCCTCCCCCTATGAAGAAGAGTCCTCCCCCTCACACAGAGGTCCTGCCAGGGGGACCCGGGCCGGCCCGCACCAGCACCGCCGCTGCCAGCAGGGTGTAGTATCCCACCTTTCGGATTCGCCTCCTCCTCCTCTTCCTCCTCCTCCCTGTCCTCCCCTTCCCCCCCATCCCTCCCACCGCGGGGCCGCCGCACTCTCCGGGCCAACTTGGCGATGAGGAGCAGCAACTTCTCCGCTGCTCCCCGCCCCCCCCCTCCCCTCCTTTCCCCGTCCCCTCCCTCGGGGGGTGTTGGTGGTGGTGGGGAAGAGCGGAGCGTCCCGGGGCACCGCCGCGGTTCCCCCCCTCGGCCTTTCCCCGGCGGGCGCCGGCAGAAGTTTTGCGAGCGGGAGCGGTGGAGGTGGAGGAGGGTGACACTTGGGGTGAAAGGAGGAGGTGACACATTGGGGTTGGGGGGAGGAGCAGGGGAAGGAGATGACACATTGCACTGGGGATGGGGTGGGGGAGGGAGGTTTATCCCCTCCCCTCCGGTTTCCTTCAGGATGATTATTTCCAGGCCCTTTTTCTCTCGGTCGGGTCCTTTCGCCGCGATGCTGTCGGGGAAGTTTTATTATTATCTGGGAAATGATGCCGCTTTCCGCGATGGATAATTCATAGGAAACCCGCTGCTGCGGTGCATTTTTTGTGCCTTTTTATGTATTTTTTTCTACCCCCTCCTTCCTTTCATTCGTCTTTGTGGCCCGAGCAGCGCCGGGAAAATTCCGTTTCTTCTGCAACTTGTTATTCCGGAGCCGGGCCTGCCCCCCCTCCGCCTCCCCGCACCGGGGCTGCCCTTCCCGCACAGATACGGGGCTGGGGCCGGGGCTCTCGCTCCTGCCCCGCTCGGCTCCTGGCCTTAGCCACGGCTACTTCTTCATTCTTATTCTTTTTCCCTCCCTCCTGCGTCCGTGTAGGTGGAGTGTGGCTGTATGTGGGACTCTGCCATTTGGTCTAGTGCTCTTGTGCATGCTCCTTTCTTCACTTGCTTTCCTGCGGGATTTATTGTTATTTTTATTTTGATGGTGGTGTATGGGATTTTTTTTTTTTTTATTATTCCGAGCTTTTCCATCGGTAAAGTTTTGTTGGGTTTTCTTTTTCCCCCAAAACACCTCTGCAGTTCGGTGGATTGTATGCTGAGGTTTTTAGGTGAATTCGGATTGGATTAATGCATGGAGCTCTTCATTCAACTTCTTCTCAAGTGTCAAAAAATGAGGCTATGAACAGATGTGTTTCAATATGGAGAGATTTCCAAGTTCCTAATTCTTGGGGGTGGAGGAAAGAGTGCCATTGGAGAGTGGCTTTTGTTTTCGATTGGTGAACAAATGTCATCACATTTCAGTCACGTGCTGTAATATTCTTTGTTCAGCTATCAAAGTATGGTATCTACTACACCTGTTCCCACTTTTTAATTGTAAGTAACGGTGATTCTTATCCTGCAAATCTTATGCTTGTGGATAGGGAGTACAATTCCCATCTTCCTCCCCCCTCCTGCCCCCTTGGATGTTTGTTTGGACCCAGGCGCTGAGCTTGACAATGAACTTTTGTTCACTGTGGAGGCTGCGTGTAGAAAGGTCCCACTGGGGGTAATAACTTGCGTGTCACGAGGAAGTTGCATGCGGTGATGTGCGGTGGGTCTGAGCACTGTACAGTGCGGTGGGGATGTGTGGGCACTCATGGCATGGCTCTGGGAAGGAGCAGGCTCCCCTGGGCCAGTGGCATTTTCCTAGCTAGGTACGCTGTTGCTTGCTATCAGGTTAGAGGACAGATGCTCCTGTGCACCCATATAGATAGATACATCTTTTTTGCTTAGCTGTAGCTTTTCAGGTATTAGAAAGCAAAAGGGTTTTGGCTGTTTACTTTTTTTTTTTTCCTCTTTCTATTTTCCCATTGTGCTCACTTCTAACAATGAAGGCACCTGCTTAGTTTCAGTTCTGGAAGTCAGCCTCCTCTGGCTTTCCTGGGCTTGCCCGGAGCTTGCTGGTGAGCTGGATGTGCTACATAGGGAGGGAATGTTTAACTTGGATGAAAAGAGGCTTATTTTGGAGCTTAATTTATGGAAAAAAAAACCCAACAAAACCATGCTTTTCAAATTGGGAGAAAAAACCCCAAACCCCTAAAAATCTGAAAATCATAACTTCTACCCAGTTAATATGTAATGCTCAAACTTTTATATTGAGCTTGCTAGCGATTGTGTACAATACAATTTTATAGTTTATCTTTAAATAGTGTTGTTAGCTTACTGGCAAGAACTGGATCTTAAAGTAGGAAATGAAACGTGCATAACTACCCATGTTAGTTGAAGTTAATCACTACACTTTAGAAGGATCACAGGCTTTGGGAATATATCTGGGTATGTTTCATGATAGCTGTGTGAAACTGTTTCTGTGGGGGTTTTTTCTTTTTAATTATTATTTTCTAGAAAGGAATTTTCTAGCTCAGTAAATGAAACTTTAATACTGTATTAAAAAAACCCCAAACAGATGAAGTGCTGCTTGAATGTTTTTAAACCTTTCAGCCTTACTGTGCTAGAGAAATTAGGTTACTTTATGCTAGTTACATCAGCTACAAGTTTGAGCTGATAGAGAAGGGAGTATGAAGCAACCTCTTTATCCATTGATTTCATGTTGTGTAGTAGCATGTCTGGAGTAGGACTTCAAGGTCTTAAGGGACCTTGTCCAGCAGAAGGTAGGTGCTTGCTTGCTAAGTATGTACTGGATATCAGCTATGTCATACCTCCAGTTTTTATTCGCACTGATCTGAGTGACAGCAAACTTGAAGTGGATCCCATTAGTGTGATTTTTTTTGTTTGTTTCAGTTAGTGATTTTTAGTGGTGTATAATTCAAAGTGTCCCGTTAAAGAATGTTATTAATAATTATTTTACTGTTAGTCATCATAAGATTTCTACCTGAAAGCTTTTAATCTTTGCTCTTCTCTGTGTGTGTTCTAAGCTGGATTTGTTGTGAGGTTGAAGAAGGCATTTGAAAATGTTTTTCTTCCTTTAGGGAGTAAAAATACAAAACTTTCCCTTCAAAGAACTTAAAGCAAAAGTTGGAAACTGAAACTTATGCTGCTAAGAGAAAAACACTGTTGTGTTTTCCTGCTTCAGCAGCAGGATCACTACTTTCAGTTTAGGTTTTGTAAAGATCTTTCTTCACCCTAGGCCATTCAGCTTCAGCTGTGTTTCAAGTATTGGGCCTAAATAGTTCTTGTTACAACTTTTCTTTTTTAAAGATGAGGTTTTGTGTATGTCTGTGAAACTTCACTATAGAAATTACAATTAAAAGGAAATGACAAATCCTTGGGCTCGATCTGTACAAAGGAGGTAATTTTACCGTTTTTTATTGTTTTTTTTTTAATAAAAGTGTTTTAATGGCTCCTAAAAAAGTTGTTAAATTCTATGTGCAGTTGGGATGCTTTAATAATGGGCCTGGCTATCACTTGGGTTGTTCATGTTGTTTTGTTTATAATGGGCGTGATTGCATGTGAACACGTTGTATCTGTTCAGTTCCTGTCTACTTACTGTCAGACCCATGGAGAACTTTATTCAGTCAAGTGAATTGATACTACTGGAAGTTATTTCCAATGGAGATTTCACTTTCATTTCAATACCAGTTGGTAGGAACCTTGATGGACTTACCTTATTTCCTATGTTATGGGCATTTTGCATGGGTACCAGAAACTCAAGATGAACATCATGTGAAAAACACATGTTGGTGACTTAACCTTTTTACTGTTGTTTTGGGTTTGTTGGGTTTTGCTTACTTAAAATCTTCCAGAAAGACCTTAGTAGCGTGATAGGGCTTTCCTTTTCAGAGCGCCATCATGGTGTGATGTGAGCTGTAAAGCAGCCCCGCCATCAGGAGAGGCTTCTTGTGTAAAAAGGGCAGTGCTAAAAACCTATTATTGAGCTTCTAATAGTATTTCTTCACTGTCCCCTTCACCCTTTATGCTCACAACTGTGCAGTCACATGTGTAGCTGTGTACTAGAAGTGTAAGACTCCACAAAAGGCCTGGCTCCTGTATGATTGTGAATTGCCCTTGTTCAATTACTCTGTGCCAGAAAGCAGCTCACATCCTGTTTCTGATGTGTTTGAACTGCACAAAGGTTTTTTTAGGAACAAACCATATACTGGGAAGGTGGGGCAGTGCGCAGGAGGGTTTTGAGATGTCTGCCCAATGCATGGGGCAAGATACTTACATCTGTACCCTGTAAATAGAGGGTAAACTGAAGAATAGTTTTATAGGTATCTTACATTAATATTTCATGTTCACTATAGCACAAAGCCGGTGTCTGGCTTGTGCCAGTGGCAGGATATGCATAATGCAGGCAAAAAAGAAGTTTATTTACATTTGGGGATGGAGGGGGACTTTGTATTTTCTTATTTTCCTTTTTTTCTTGCTGTAAATACAGTCTCATTAAAAAAAGAAAACAAACAAAAAAAACCCAAAACCCCAAGAGAACAACCCTGTGTTTCTTTAATAAGTTTTCAATACATTTTGGCTCCTGCACCTTACCAGGTTCCTCACTGGATTAAAATCGGTTAAGTGTGATTTTAAG